TTGTAATATATTCATAATAATATAAATATTACTAAGGCAGAGGCTACTTTTTATAGCCTTCAATCTTTTTTGTTTATGAAATCATAAACTAGAAAATCAGACCCACTTGCCGTGTCACATCTTTTCTTTCACGAATAGCCAGTAATCCACTTTAATATTTTATATTATATCATTTATATCCAATACAAAGACCAAGCTTTAATCTATTGAATTATGTATAATGCTACATTGTTTTCAGTACAGAGTTTTTTCAGTTTCTTCTTCAGTTCAAAAGTTTATCTCATGGTGTTCAGATAGAGGAGCTGAGGGAATTGCTTTAAGCCTCTCTTAGGTGCATTATTTAAGAAAATAAAAAGTATTTAGTTTACTAGTATCATCATTATAAAAAGTAGGTTTATATTTCACTGGCAACCTATAGCATAAAAACAAGAGGTTAAAGATAAGTACTATATTTCTTCTTTTTTATGTACATTTATTATTTATTGTTATAAAAGTAACTAACATGTAAAAACTAGACTTATTAAGTTAGATAAGATTAGATTATGTAAGATAATGAATAATAATAATATATTATTGACAAGATAATGTGAGTTGCATGTTTCGCAAGAGATTTACAACTTGTATGGCAAGATTATTAGTTAGCCATGGTTCAAAGGGCAGTAAAACAATAAAATTAAGTAGAAACAGGTTTAGACTGTTATGAGCCTTAAATTGCTAGGGATAATTGTTGTTTTCTGGTTACTGTCTGCAGTCATTCCAGAAAGAAAAAAAGGGTGATTTAGATTTACTTCATATTCTTTATGGTGGTTTATAAGGCAGTCAAATTGACTAAGTCTGTATATTGTTAGGGTAGAGAAAATAACATAAAAAAATATAAAGTTTTGCAGAAAAAATAACTTTCACTAAATAAAATGTGAAAACTATAAGATCAAAAAAGTATTTTTTACTCTTAAAATGAAAATCACCTTGCACTCAGACTAGTCAGTGTCTGAGCCAGACTGACTTTTTTAAACTTTTGATTTTTATGTACAACATACTTGTAATGTTTACTGAAAGTTTTTCATATTTTGTAAAGATATGCAAGTATGAAAAACTTTCATATTTTGTAAAGATACACTTACCATATTAAAAGATATACTGTGGAAACTGATGTTCACTTTGTGCTTAGAAGGTCAGTTACATCAACCAACCCAGTATGTATGTAAAAAATGTCTCTAACTCTTGTAAAATTATAAGAAGGTTACAAATCTCATATCCATCTGCTTACATCTGTAGGAGCTATTTTAAGGTATCTTTGTGTCAAATCTCATCTAGATTTGTCAAAATATATATGAATGGCAAGTCAAAAACCGTGCCTTTATGAAATATTTTGACTCTTATAAAATTGGAAGAAAGTCACGAATCCAAAACCGTCTTTTGGGGTTGTTTTACAAAGTCTCATCTAGATTGGTCAAAATATAAAGGAAAGGCATGCCTAAAGCCTTAATTTGATAAAATGTTTTTACTTTTGATTACTGTAAAATGGCAAAAAAAGGTACAAATCTGCTTCAAGCTATGAGAGATGTTGCAGGGTATTTTTATGCTAAATCTTATTGGATTGATGGAAATGTAAGGGAACTGCAGGTCAAAACATGTATTTTTTTGTAATTGTTGACCTTTGTTCACTGAATTGTTATGGGAACATAAATACAAAAAATGAAAAAGGTGTTTGGGCTTAATTGGACCAAAGTTATATGCCTTCAAAGTTTCAAGACTATTGTTCTGGCAATAAAGGAATGGCACATAATTGTAACTGTTGAGGAGAGGAAAAAAAACAACATGAAATATAATGTGTCTTTCTCTCATGTAACTTGATAAATATCTTGTAGGAACTTTGAATTCTATATAATTGGTTATAGTGTCTCAAATAATGTGTTAAAAATATACACAAATACCATCACTACCATAATTACTGCCGGAGCCACTGAGTATTCATATAGAGTTGAGACTGTCAGTGATCTTATTCATAGTGAGATGAGACATATATTTAGAGCTGTGGTGGTCTTTCCAGGGGGCTCTGAGGATGCAGTTGAGGGTAATCCTCAATATTTTGGAGAGACTTTAGATTTGCTTTTTCCTGTGCCCTCTTTTAGTCTGTTGGATTTTTAGTCCCCCTGTGGGACAATGGTACATTTATGGACTCACAGCGCTGGAGTCCAGGGCTCGATTCCCTAGGGTGGATTGATCTGTATTGATTTTTTTTTCCTGGGATTGTAGATGTCCAAATTAGCTGTAGTTGGCTCCTATCTGCTCTTTGCTGTAGCGGTGGTATCCCACCATTATCAGCATTTGTGGTGCATAAGCATCAGGTACTGCAGCTCTGGGTTTTTCCTTTGGACTTCATCAGCTTCACACAAGTTTTGCTGTATCCTATGAGTTTTTTACTCATGTGCACATACACACACCATTCCATGGATGAATGGTTACTGCTGGCACCATCTCATCAATTGTCAGACCATCACATCCTGATTCTCCTTTCAGAAACAACCATGGCAGGCTTCCCTTTCAGGACTGAAACATCTATTTATGCTCCAATTCAATATGCCATCAGTCTGGATGTTTTTTTATTTTCCATCTCGTCTCACGGTCGGGCTCAGCTGATTCCCATCCAGCTCAACACCATAGAATAGGATGTCACACTCTTACCTCTCCTGCTCCTACTGCACAGATGGTTCTTTCTCTTCTGGGAATGTGGGCATCACGCGATTCCCTCGTACCTTTGGGAGATAAACACAAAGATCATAAACATTAATTCATAGGTTTATCCAGTTTCCTTAGTCAGGATCATTCTTCAATCTCGAGATGGTTGTTAAGGTGGGACACTACTACGATATGGATTCCTCTACTGCCTCCTCATCTGGAGTTCCATCTCTTCACAAATGCCTTGCTTCAGGGGTCGGGTACATATACCAAATGTATAGAATTCTAGGGTCTATGCACAGATGAAGAGGATTCTTTACACAATATTTTTGTCCTTCTTGCTTTTCAACAGGCAATGCCTCACAGTCTGGGCTTATTAATGGATAAATTTTCAGGCTTCACTCTGACAATTCTGTGGTGATGTCTTGTGTTTCTCATGAAGGAGGTATGTGGTCTTGGACTCCTTGTTTTTCAATATTGGATCTCATTTATCGAGTCCAGTCCTATATTATCTCCCTTCTAGCTTGCCATGTTTCATAGGTGATGCCTGCCCCTACTGATCTTTGGATTGAATAAATTGAGGTTGGTTTGCTTTTAAAAATTTAGAGAACTTGGTTCACCTATTGCACTGTTTCCAAAGCACTGTTCCTCAGGACTCCCAATGTGCATTACCCCCCAGTTTTTTCTAATGGAGCTAGGGAGTCCTTACCACACCTGGCTTTCAGGGTGGTGGGCAGAGGCTTTTCCTCCAGTGGTAGAGTGATTTCCTATCTGGGTCCCTGGATGTTTTTCCCAGATGTTGTTAGGAGTGTCACCAGCCAATGTGGGAGCCTACTCGTAATACCGGTTCAGATTTGATGCTCAGCTCTACGGTTGGGGTGTGCGTGGCCCTTCTTTGTGATCAATATTGATTCAGTATATTGTTCATGGAAGGGGCTCCACTATCTCCTTATAATTCCGAATGCGGAGTGGTTTCATTCTGGGTCCTTGGTTGAGTACAGTTGTTCCACATCCTCCACATTATTCTGGTGGCAAGTGGAATGTACCTTGCCTACATGGATGAGGAGTGAGGATGAATGTTCATAATTCCATACTGGATGAGTTCTGTTTCCTTTGGTTGAGTAAGGCATACATGATCTCATCATTCAGAGCCTGGGGTGTTGCCTGTCAGACTTCTTCAGGTTAAGGAGAAGGTTTGTTCACTTCCGTATTGCTTACTTTCTCATCGCGATTCCGATGGCTCGGAACACATCATTTATGACTACAGGTTAG